TGGACTCCCGGAGTCAATTGTCTCTGACTGAGACTCACGCTTCGTGGGGAAGTTTCGGTCGACGATCTTCAAGGTGCTGAGCATCAAGCTAGATATCTCAACAGCATACCATCAGCAGACCAATGGTCAAACTGAGCGCGTGAATCGCGTCAATAAGGACGTCCTTCGTAGCGTCTGCGCTGAGGCTCCGAGGCGCTGGAAAGCCATTTTGTCGCTCGTAGTGTTTACTTTGAACAATGCAGGCATTCATGTACCGGCTACAAGCCGTTCTACGTGAATGGGCTCGTTTATCTTCGCGTCCCGCTGACGCCGCCAGTTCATGGCTCAGGCTTTGGTGGGGAGGAATGGCCGAGCGACTAGCTATTGTCTGCCCTCTCTCTGTTCGCAAAGAAGTCGAAGGCTTCCTGTCCACCAGACTAAGTGTCTTAAGACACGTTCGCGATGCGATGGCTAAAAGCCAAGACATGCAGAAGAGAGTGGTAGAGGGGATGTGAAGAGACTTTGAGTTCAGAGACCTGGTTTAATCAAATGCTAAAACCTTTCTACACCTGCAATTTCTGCTGTCTTTAAGACGGCTCCGTCCACGGTTTATCAGACTTTTCAAGGCTGTGGTCTTGCGTATACGCTAAACTTTTAAAACGTATGCGTACCCACCCAATGTTTTAAGTGGGCTTGCTCAAGCTGTACCGGGTTCCGGCGCAAGTGAACGCGGAAACGTTTGCGCTGGAGCGGCGCCCACAGGCGTTCGACCACCCAAAGGCTGGATGTGCAACTGGTTTTGATCACGGAGTGCAACGGCCTTCATTTCCAACGGTACCGGCGCTTCATCTTGTATGAAGTGACGCATTCGTCTGCTCAACGGTTAGGAGCCGCTTCGATAGAGCGCGTTAGTCCTCAACGTAAGCCAGCCGATGCACATCGCGGATCAATCTCGCTAAGCTTTCCGCATAGCGGTATGCGTTCCGGCTTGACGCTCAGCAGAGTCCCGATCGCGACGGACCTCAACCTCACGAGCTCGGAGAGCATCGCGAGTCACAGGACTGCGATCTACCCAGTCGTCGTCGTTCGCCGCCGACTCTTCTCGGTGAAAAAGGTGGTGACCACTATCACGTGAAATGTCTGATGGGTCGACGTCGTCGCCAGGGTCAAACCCAGTATCCTGTGAAACATCGGTACTCCGACTCAGAGAACTCGTGGGAGTTTATGGTGCCACTTCGACAAGTCTGCCCAGACGTCATGGACACTTATGTTCAGAAGGATCATGACGTTCCGCGTCGTCGTAAGCCCCGCGCTTCTCGGTAATAGCCAGGAAAGCAGAAGGGCCATGAGCAGAGCTCAAGCAATAGCCGTGAACTGTTGCGGTTGCAGACTCACCCGTAGGAGAGACCACAGAGCGCGCGGGGGCATTTTTAATTAATCCATACGCTCCAGGGTGACAATCCGAAGGAAGTCGGCGACGCGAAAATGGCGCTCCACACGCGCGTCCCCATCCCTGTGGTTCAACTTTAAGCTGCGCAGCGAGGTAAAGTTTCCGGAGCCACTATACCCATCGCTCAAAGAGCTCTTCGTCATCTGCAGCGGCTTTGCAGGAGCGAGCACCACTGGAATCGTCCGCATCGCGGGTATAGGGCGCCTTCTTTTTGAGCTCGAAGTCGAGTGCAGAACGTATTTCCCGGTAATTCTTGGGGAACCAGGGAGCGAGCTCGGAGAGTATTTTATTCGACAAGCCCAGCTTGTGTAGTGGCCAGTGGCCCGACCACATAGACGCCCAACGATCGAGTAATCGCATCCTTCGCTTCTGTAGCGGAGTCCACCGAGCGGATGCCGTATTCCACACGAGGAACAAGGACTGATCGTTGAGAGCCGCCCTACGGGTAGCATCCGTCTGTGCTTCGTCGAGGTGATTGGTAATGATACTACTTTTCCCGGAAGTCGAGCGTTTGGGGAACGGACACGGCGTCCGCAAGGTTCAAGCAGGGTTCACGTCGTGCTGCTGAAGCGCTCGCCCTCTTATTCTTCCCATCCAGTGAAGGGAGTATCCGACTCGAAGTCGACTTACTTCAAATCCTCTGGTAATCCATCGCCTATGACGGTGCGCGGTACTCGGTTACCGAGGACTTGGGTTTCACTTCCCTTGAAAGCGCAGACGTATTGTCCGGAGTTGCACCGCGTGCAGGAGACGACGAAGGACTCTGCTCGAGGGCGTTCTCAGAACAAGTGAGGCTGGGTGACTTAAGTTCCGTGTCTTCGACACAGGGCTCATTAAGCAGAGAATTTGTGAAGACGGTGGTTATGTAGTGGTGTCTTAGACAAGCGAGCCTTTTTCGAGGTGACTGAAGTGTAGTTGCTCAGAATCTTGATGGGGTGAGTATAACGGGATTTCACGTACTCTGTTATGAAGGGTATGGGTCACACAAGCACACAATGGTGTGGCTACACTTGAACATGAAGCCAGTACATGGCTGAATGATAGTAGCTATTCATTGAAATTGGTTTTTCTATGTAGATAGGAAAACCTAGGATTTAGATATAGGCGGCTTTGCCGCAAATAAAATAAAAATACTGTTTACATTCAACGGAAGAGTTAAATAGCTTTGAGTTACAGTTGTCATTACTCTTGGAGCTTGTCCGAAAAACCCAGGAACATGCATCGAAATGCCTTCTTGTCGAGCTTGATTCGTTTTGTTCTGTCGACGTGTGCAAATCCTTGAGCAGCGAAAACGCGCATGTTGGGGAGATCGGGTTTTCTTCCAAAACATTTTTCGAATGGTGTTGACCTTGGGTGAGCAGCACGCGGAACTCGT